CCCCCCCCCCTTTCAGGCCCCGGCATACCTGAAAGTGGTATTTATTTACACAAAGCTACACACAATTATATTGGGGTGTGAAACTCTCTTTCTCTGTTTTTACCAGCACACGCACACTAATGTTATAGCTATGCCAGAAGATTTTGTCAAGTTGTTGCTTTAAAAAAATCCTTAGAAAATAGGTCAATGTGTGACCAAAAGCTGTAGTACCATAAAGAATTAAACCTCAAAACAGCCATATCTTACAAAGGTCCTCACAAATTAGGTGTAAATAATTGTGCTATAAAACTGACATTGCTACCTTAGAGCGTCAAGTTTATAACTTCACACCATCCTAGGTTGTTTGTCTGTGTACCTTGATAATTTGACATGTATATAGCTGTGGCTGGTAAAAGCAAACCCAACAGATTGTTCAAGCATACTAGTTCTTATCGCATCATGTGCGTTCAAGCTTGCCCGCACCAACAACCGGGTGCATACCCAGCTGACTGCGGATCAATAGTGATTCCAAGACATTTGAATGATGGCACAACCAGCATGCACTGCACACATCTTTTTATTGAATTTAATTAATTTTAATGCAATAAAAAAATATGAAATGTTTGCTGGTTGTACCGTCATCCGCATCTCTTCACTTATTCAAGCAGAGACAAAACTATTCCCTTTATTCAAGCTGTCCTGTCCGTTTTAGCAACTTTATCCTACTGCTGTGACTGCACAAGTTGGGGCAGTGCCAGTCTGCCCAATTATGTATTATACAATATATTACCGCTATAGAATAGTTTATAAAAAAACCCTCAAAAGTCATCTCAGTGTTCCATGACCAATATACACTTTTATAAGGGATGCAGACCTCCGCACTGACTTTTGAATTTTTTGTAAATATCTAGGATTTATTATCCTTTGTATACGTAAAGGGATAGCAGAAACCCTGCTTCCTGTCAACAGGTACAATTGTTGAAATTTGTTACCCTTATATGAGTAGACATGATAGTCCATGTGTCCAGAAGAATGAGGATGATCATTTCTGTCTCCGATTACAACTGTTAATGTGTTTGTTGATGTCAAAGGAGGACTCCCACTGTCAGTAATAACAATTGGTAAATACAACACCTTTTGCAGTTCTCTGTCAAAGCTGCGCAGAGCAGTGATCATGGCACTTCCATTGTGAAAGTCTGTCAGGCTGCAATCACCAGTGATCGGAGAGTCACTTAAGTAGAATGAAAATGGGGGACCGTTGACTGCTGTGTCATTGTCTTTAGCATATAATAATGTTGATGTTTTGTTTATTTGTACAACATGGGGATATTCCGAGTTTTCCCAGATGATTGGACTATACTGGACTTCAAATTCAGGAGCATTATCATTGACATCCTCAAGGCTGAAGACAATGGTTGCACTTCCAGTGAGGGCTGGTTCACCCATGTCTGTGGATAGTACCACCAGCCGATGATAAAGAAATGCTTCTCTGTCTAATGGCCTAGAGACCACAACGTTGCCATCATGATCCACTAAGAACTGACCACCAGGATCAGAAGAGTCTAGAATGTGATAGGAGAACAAACCATTCACTCCTGAATCCAAATCAACTGCAGATACCCGGACGACTGGTGTGCCAATAGAGACATCTTCAGACATTGAAGGCAACTCATACATATATTGATAGAACACTGGAGCATGATCATTTGAGTCTTCAACATGGATGATGCAGTAGGCCACACTGAAGAAATCCATGTCTTCAACTTTTACGGTCAGATTAAAGGATCTCTCGTAAGGTTTTTCGTAGTCCACCTTTTTCCTGAGACGAAGGATTCCCCGTTTGTGGATCTTATCTGTCTCTATAAAGAATTTGCGGTCATCGTCTCCTCCAGCAATGCTGAATGCCATCATTGCATTTTCCCCTTCATCATTGTCCCAGGCTTGTAAAACAGTCACCTCGCTGTTAACACCAGAACATTCAGGAACAAAGGCTGTGTACATTTTCTGAGCGAATACAGGGGCATGGTCATTCACATCAGATACTATAATGGTGGCAGTTCCAGTGCCAGAAAGGCCACCTCCATCTTTAGCTTCCACAACAATCAGGTATCTGTCCTCTTTCTCCCTATCCAGAGATCCCAGAACAGTGTAAATGGAGCCAGTGGAGGGGTGAATTCCAAACAAATGAAGGTTTATTTCGTTTTGGACATTCTGGATAATTCTATAGGTTAAAATGGCATTCTTCCCAGATTTTGGGTCATCCAAGTCAAAAGCTGCCATCTCCATCACTGTAGTATCTGCAGGGGAATTTTCTGGTACATAGCCCATAAAGCAGCCATCAGAGGTGCACAAGAACACAGGTGGATTGTCATTGACATCCTTAATGTCAACAATCACATCAGCGAATCCACTCAAGCCTTCACCATTTTCATCAGTGGCAAGAACCAGAAAGCGCCAAGTCGCACGCTGTTCTCGGTCTAGTGTTCTCTGTACGTATATTTTTCCATTGTATTGGTCAATGATGAACTCACTGTTGGCTCCCTGGCCATGTAAAGAGTAACGGAGAGCACTCTGATCTGCTTCTTGGTCAGGATCGGTAGCAGAAACCTGGACACAATACATAAATAAAATAAGTGGCTATTTTCTAAAGCAGTAAATAAATATAGAAGGTTACTGTGTAATGGAGAAAAACTAGATCTACTGTATGAAGATAGTATTAAAAACAAGCCAGGGAAATTAGCTGAAATAAAATGTACTTAGTTGACACCCAAATAGAATGATATACATACATATACTGTAATTCATCCCAATGAGTTTTATCATTCAGGCAACCTTGCCACACATGAGCATGAACAGATCCTCAACATCCACTGTCGCAATACCAGAGTTTGGTACTCATCCACCTTCTGCTGATTGGACTATGAAGAAATTGCAGCACACTGCTGAGTCATCATCAATCTGCTCACTTGGTCTCTCCTTCATTCACATGCTCATGGTCAGCACATATGCTGATTTACTCCTACTGCAAGCCCTTCCTCAGGCAGTCTGCTGCTGCTGTGCAGGCGATTAAAGGAGATTGCTACAGGTGAAACTCGAATAATTAGAATATCGTGCAAAGTTCATTTATTTCACTAATGCAACTTAAAAGGTAAAACTAATATATGAGATAGACTCATTACATGCAAAGCAAGATAGTTCAAGCCGTGATTTGTCATCATTGTGATGATTATGGCTTACAGCTCATGAAAACCCCAAGAACCCCAAATCCACAATCTCAAAAAAGTAGAATATTGCATGCAATCAATAAAACAAGGATTGTACATAGAACAATATCGGACCTCTGAAAAGTACAAGCATGCATATGTACTCAGTACTTGGTTTGGGCCCCTTTTGCAGCAACTACTGCAATTACTTTTGCACAATATTCTAATTATTCGAGTTTCACCTGTATATGGCTTCTGGATATGATTGTTTGTGCAATGACCATGCGCTTGGGAAATTGCAGCCATGAAACAGCCACAGTTTCCATTCTGTTTTAAGCAGATTTCATTCAGGTAGAACAGACAGTTATGCCTAATACCAGGCCCTCGGCATAAATGAGTCAGGATGAGGCCAACCATGACATCAACCTATCATGCTACTAGATAAGAATAGATAAGTGGACAAAACCACTGCTAAGACAGGTTTGTTTTTTAGTCCTTGAGCCTCATAGCTGAATATCTGCAGTGTGAGATCACCTAAGGCACTGTGCCTCTGATTGCTAACCTCATGAGATTAGGAGTGAGATTTAGTAATAAAACAAATGTGCTGTAAACAGTTCTGCTTGCTGTAGATGAAGCATCAGTGTGATCTCCCTGCTTCTGCTTCATCCACTCTGTGGATCTATGACTTCGACACATAATCCTGCTGCTTCCTGAATATTACCCCACTAGTCATTAGATCTCCAGTTAGCAGGGTAGCAGGTCTAATAAGAGGAAGAAACGCCCTGCTGCTCTACCAAGATGGCTGCCTACACACACTGACACAGTGCAGGACACATCATACTATGTCAGTAATGGAAGAACGATCAGCTGCAGAGAGCCAAAAGCCAAAACTTGTACACTGCTTACCTTTTATGCATAAAGCTTCCACAGTTCAGGTCCTCTTTAAAATGACACTATATAAATAATCTGACCTTTAGGTAAATAGGAAAAGATTCTAGTGTGTCTGAGAAACATAAAGTTGGGTGTGTTCCTACTTATTATGCAGATCATACAAGTATATGTTTTGAATTTGCCGTATAAGGTCAGCTATTATTTGGGTCCTTACTTGCAGCACCAGTATAGGGTGCTCGGTCAGTTCCTCCAGAACACTACCATGATATTCACTCTCTGTGAAGACTGGGGCCTCATCGTTTAAATTGATCACGTTGATGACCACAAGAGTGTGATTTTCCCATTTACCATCTGAAGCTACTAGCCTCAGCTTGAAGCAAACGCCCTGCTCATAATCCAGGCTCTGGGTGAGAAAGATTGCTCCGATCTCTGGCTCCACATCAAATATCCCCTTGGCATTTCCACTGGTGATCTGGTATCTAAGCTTGGCATTGGCACCTGTAGAAAAGTTTAGAAATGATCATCAGGAGGTGATTGCTAACAAGAAAGTCCAGATTTTCTTTATTAATGCAAGAATTAGATCAATAAAGAAGAAAAGAGAAGTCTCATGCTTTCTCAGCCCCCTATTCTGCTGTTATCTGAACTGCTTAGAGGAATGAAATCCAAAAACATAAATACAAATCAAAAATTACCAAAAGGAATAACTGTTTCCATGTCACATAGCAATATCAGTATGCAAAGGTACTAGTGTAATCTGTAGCTACAGATCTCTGTACTGAGAAAATCCAGGTACTGTGGAAGGGGAGTAAGCTTTTGCACAAACTGGTATGGAAGAGAAAAGGGATTTCCAATTGTAGAAACCTGATTACTCTTCTTCCGATGAAGGAAAAAACTGAGCCGTACGTACCCATGTTAGGTCTATGGGGAGTCAGATGTACGTGGACAAGTGTCCTTTTACATCTTATTACCTGCAATCCAGTGGCGGACCTAATAACCAAAGGGCCCTGGTGCAAGATTCTATCTTGGGCCCCCTTCCCAAGACAGGGGGGGGCGCGGATCACACTGGCCCCCGAATCCCCCACAGCGGTCTCTAATGTTGCAGTAGCGTGCTGGACTCTGGACTTACCTGAGACCCTGCAGAGCACACCATAGATCCTGCATAGTCCACCTGAGACTCTCTATGGTGGGCTCTGCAGGGTCCCAGGTGGGCTGGTCGTCGGGGTCCCTTTCCCTGTACCTCCTCCCAACTCTTACCTGCTGGGGCCCGGCCTCCTCCACCACCTCCCCTGTCACCTCTGCCGTGCCGCCCCTGGTACAGCTGATACTCATGTAAGAGGCCCCCAGGCTGCCCAAACCCCTCACATGGGTACCGGCCATACCCCCCTGATGGATGTGTGACACACACATTTCTCCTCTCCCGCCGCCTGTAACTAGGGACGCGGCCGTGAGAGGAGGTGAGTCACAGGACCCTTACCGAGAAGCCCGTCCGCAGTGCGGGGCCCCGGTGTTCTAACACCAGGACCCTGCACTGCCCCATATTCCACCGGGGGGGTCCCTCATTGTCCTTCCTTCTGGAGGGTGGCTATTTTTCTTCCCCATGGTCCCTGTGTGTGTTGTAAAGTAGTCATCGCTCCAAGCTCACTCCCATGATAGACTACAATCTCAATTTAAATTAATAAACTAAATGTGAGATTGTAGTCCATCACAGGAGTGAGCTTGGAGTGACTACTTTACAACACACAGGGACCATGGTGACCAAAGTAGCCCCCCTCCAGAAGGAAGGACAGTGTCAGCACCAATTCAGAGATGATTTGAGAATCTACAGCCGAGAGATACACAAATAAGATACATTTTTTTATAACAGTTAAGGTACTTAAATGTATTTTATTTTTTTTCACAAGTAAATTTTTTTATTGTTTAGAGCCTAGACAATGACAGGTACATAGGCATTAAACTGACAATCAAAAACAGCCATGTGATATCCAAAACTGTGTTACAAAGCAATAAACCGAAAAGGGGGGGTACAATAGCATTGGCTGAGTGGGATCCAACATGGGAGCTCATATTCCATTGTACTGGCATCACATTAATTCACATATTAGGATGGAAAGGAATACATGTATACCTCAATCGGGTGGGCCAAGGAATTAACAAATCCCACTAACACTGCGGGAGTAATGAGATCCCTAAACATTAGGAAAGGCATATAGCAAGGAGGGTTTAACTATCTTACTATCCAAAGGTTGTTCGTTGCTAGTCCGATCTGGTTTGGATAACGGGGATGACCGCTGTATATGAGGTGCTATCATTGCCAGGTGGGTTGGGAGATCAGGGGGAACAGTTGTGGGAAGGGAGGGAGTAGGTCCGGAAAGAATGGGGGGAAGGGAGGGAGGTGGGGAGAGAAGGCAAGGAGGGGGAAGGGGTCCCGTCCGACCCACAAGTAGGGAGAGATGAAAAGGAGGAGAGCACAGCATAGTACAGAGCAGATAGGGGTGGTGTTATCGTCTTAAATCCTTACATGCCTCTGAGTCTCGGAATAAATGCCACAACGTCCAGGTTTCAAGATACTTGGACATGTCATCTCTGCCAGAGTGGATACGTTCCTCAATGGCCGATACTGTATCTATTCAGGAGAGCCACTCCCGAATCGTTGGTGGGGATGGCGACTTCCAGTGTCTAGGAATCACCGTTTTTGCCGCGTTCAGTAGATGGATTGAGAGGGATTTTTTAGAAATATGGAGAGTGTCATCAAAGTGATACAATATGAGGCTAGCTGGGGAGCTTAAATGTATTTTTAAGATTTATCTTAACTTTTCATTGCTTGAAGAAATTCTCCCTTTCATATTTTTTATGCAGTATGATTAATATGGATAGCACAGACTCTGCATTCAGATACTTTGATACACGAGGTCCTTTATAGCTAACAAACATAGTAAAACATATGGTTCCTATACTGAGGTGAATATTTATTTACATGCTACTTTGCCATTACTAGTTCCTAATAAACTGATTGGATGCAACACCTGAAATAATGGCTTAGGGCCCAAAAAGACTGCCTCTGTTATATATAGGTAACAGATACACCTTATTGTTGATATTTTGTGTATTTTAAAACATGTTGCAGACCTTTCCATGTAGGCCAGAGTCTAGATCCATGGCTGTAACTTGTGCAATCGATGATCCAATCTCAGCTCCTTCTTGTAACGTCACTTCATAAGTGGAGGATGTGAAGAATGGAACGTTGTCATTAACATCTACAGAAGATAAGGTCATACTTTGACATTAGCAGGCAAGGCATGGGGAACTAGAAAAAAACAGGTAAAGCTCTTTGATATAAATAAACCAGGACCCCTGTTCTTTTAACATTTATATTAAAACAAGTATCGTCTTATTGTCTGTAGTTTATTAGCTGCATTTGCACAGAGAAATAGAAAGGCAGGTATAACATACCAGTCACATTGACATAAACTGTTGTAAAAGATGCTAGAGGTACTGTAGCAACATTCTGGGCTCTGATCTTCAGGGCGAAGAATTTGGTGCCCTCATAATCCAGGGGTTCAGATATCAATATGGATGCTGAGCTATCAGTTCTGTTTGTCTTCAGGTAGAAACGAATGGGGTTATTTGTCTCTGGTACAAGCCCTTCCTCCATATTGTATGTGATACGTGGGTCACCCAGTACAGATGTGGCTTTCACTGTCTGAAATAAAAGCAAACAATGAATAGGTGGCAAGATGTTAGAATGATAAAAGAGAGGGCAAAAGAATAAGACTACTGGACCACAAACCACCCTATACCAAATCAGGACAGTGTTTATCTGGACCTATGACACACCCTGGTAGCATCAAGTGCCATACACATAGAGCCTTAGTTAGGGCTATGGCCACTAGACAGCCCTGAGGAGCATAGAAAATAACATTTATGTATTTGATTGTGCTTCTTTAGCTCCATATAGGGTCCATAATGCAATACATGGAAATATTCAAAAATTTATTACAAAAATCTCCCCAAAAAACTAAAGAATGTTTATTTCGGCATATATATGCACAAATGAACGTTCACAGATATTCACAGGGTTAACAGCTTTGTCAATTGTTTATAAACAGACCCCAAAGCGTAATAATAACTTGACAAAGCTTCTATCCCTTCCCCATTTTACTTAAAATTCTGTTGTGAAGCAGTATGTGACCCCACTTGAGACATTTCTAAATCTTTAGTGTAGACACAGACTACAAAGAAAAACATGGGTTCCATCACTTTCCTACTCTGTCCGAAACCTAAAAAAAAGGTTCAGCCTAGAGTTGGGCTCTAAATTCTAATAAAATCATCATTTTGCTCTGTCGCGAGTCAGCCTCATCTTACCACTATATTGGTGTCCCGAGTGATGTTTTCTGGAACAGAGACCCAGTATCTTGTTTGCTCCCATTGTGGTGGCTGGTTAAGAATGTTAGTGATGGTCACTGTAAGCTCAACACTGGTGCTGCGGTTCCCCCCATCTGTGGCAAAAATGTACCGTGTGATGCGAGAAGTCTAGTGAAATGCAAAAGTCGTTAGGCATTATAGACACAAGCATAATATTATAGTGTATACTGTATATTATACAGTATGAGTACATGTATTAAGCTAATAATGATTGTAGATCCTAACAATAAACAGATACACTTCTCATATTTGCTCTTTATTTGGGAGGACGCTGGTTTATGTCCTCCCGTTACCCTAAGGAGAACTATGGGAAAAGCCCTAACCCCACAGTTCTCCTTTAAGTATACCATTAAAAGTATCTTTGTTATATCTGTTTATTTAGTTTGGAAAAAATGCCTGTTGATCATGATAACTTCCCGTGCTCTGTTTTGACTTTTATTAACAACATTGAGGGGAATTTATCAAAACTGGAGCAGCTGTGCATTGCAACCGATCAGCTTCTCTCTTTCATTTTTAAATCTTAACTGAATCAACTGAAGAGAGAAGCTGATTGGTTGCCATGGACAACTGATCCAGATTTTGTCTGCTCCAGTTTTAATAAATTCCCCCCATTGTTCTTTGAAGCCTACAGAACCACACCCCATCTATGTTATAAATGACAGAAGAGGGGTGGGGTTCCATAGTGCTATCTTGTTTCTGATGTCCTGATGCAGAGGTTGTCAGGAAGTGCGTTTCTGGCAGACGCATCAGATGAAAATAAAGGTTAAAAAGGAAATCTAACACATCCACCTTGTCTAAGGACTGGTAAGCTGAAATATATTGCATTTTTACAATTAGCATTGTAGAATAATATGGCATCAATTCACTGTACTGTATTAGGTAAAGCTGAACTTCAGGCAAACTGCTAAATACACAGATGAAATACTTATACGGTATGGGAGCTGTTTTACCTGCCAAGGGATTTGTATATCTGTCCATCCACTCTGTAGATTTACACAAGTCTGCTACGCAGTACAACTCTACCTGACAGGGCAGAAAACCTGATTCTTTTTTTACTGCAATTCAGTAACACAGTTTCCCCCTGAATCTCCAACCTGTGACTGGACAGTGAAAGAAGAAGCTGCACACTAATGAGCTCCTGTAAAAATGCATTTAGGGATGTAATAACGAATAGAGAGCTGCATTAAGTTGTGTCTTTTATTTCTGCCCCGAGTTCAGCTTCAAGTGTTTCCAGACCCATATTATACAGAAAAGCAGATCATTTTATTTATTACAGGTATTTATACAGCACCGTTAATTTACGTAGCGCTTTACATAGTGCACATTCACATCAGTCCCTGCCCTCAAGGAGCTAACAGTCTAAGGTCCCTATTGCACACCCATACAGGGCCAACTTAGACAGGAGCCAATTAACCTTCCAGCATGTCTTTGAGATGTGGGAGGAAGCTGCAGTACCCGGCGGAAACCCACACAACACAGAGAGAACATGCAAACTACATGCAGATAGTGTCCTGAACAGTGCCAGAGACCAGAGAATGAAAGCAAACTGCAAGCCACTGATCTGCCACCTACCTACTCTCCTTTGCCTATAATAATAATCATCAGGCTTCCTCCTAGTAATGCTGTAAGAGACGGGTGCAGGAGCCAGCAACCTTGCTACCAGTCTTGCCACCTTTGTCCTGGTCCCATGAGTCCTACTGCCATATACTGTATATTAATTCAATGAAAGACTGAGATTGGACATAGCACAATTGGGTTTTACCTGGGAGATGGGATAGTTGACATACAGCCATCCTGTGCTGGGGTTTATCTGGAAATACTCTGGCTGTTGTGCTGATATTGTATAACTGATGGCGGCATTAACTCCTTGATCACTGTCCAGAGCAGCGACACGAAGGAAACTCGTTCCAACTGGAGTATCTTCTCGAAGGAAATCTACATGAAAAGAGATCATATGCAAACTGAGAATTCACCTTTCACTAGGAGGTGTCAACACTGAAGACTAATAGATAAATTGGTGCTCAGCCATTGTGAAAGTTCTTGGGTGTACTCACACTGGTAACGACTGTTCTCAAATTTAGGGTCGTTATCGTTGACGTCGGCAATAAGAATAGTCATTGGACAGATGCCAATCAGAGGCTCCTGAGCTTGGTCTGTGGCAGTCACTGAGATTGTGTACTCTCTTTGCTTCTCCCGGTCGAAATTCTGAGCTGTGCTGATCACACCTAAACAAATGTACATATACAAGATTATTAGATAGGGAAGTGCAATGGGGAAAGACTATGTACAAGAGTGCGGCAACCAATCAAATTTTAATCTGGCTGTAGTAAACTTATTTCTAATTGGTTGTTATCCCCACCCCTAAACTTACTAGACTGGACATTGAAAGGAGAAGTAGCATATTCCTTGCACTTTCGTGAAACTGATTAGCTCTTTGTGCTATTTTCTGATTGGTTAATATGGTTTGTTGCCACTGCCATAGCTTACAGCTCCGATACAGAGCTTACAGAGGAATAACACCCAGATCTCAGTCGGGTAACAGAGTGGAGGGGGAGCATGGTGAATGTGAGAATCAGAGCCCTATTAAGAAAACCTGAATAGGCAAGGTGACAATTTCTCTTTATTATGTATTAAGCACTAACAATGAACACTTCCCTTTTGGTCTGTTGATTATACTATTGCAAGCCTGTTGTTATATCTGTTCAGTAATTTAAAAAATACTCTTTGATCCTGCCAGCAATCCTGTGAGCTGATATATTACTGTTGTTCCCTCTGCCTGCCTTGCTTTGTTCAGAGAACCACACAACCCCCCTTCCTCCCCTTATGTAGAAGAGAAGAGGGAGGAGTGTTTTGTAGTTCTGTACTTGGACAACGCTGCTCCTCCATAGATACAGTGTGAATGTACATGAATGTTGTCACCCTATGACAAAAAAACATTTAAAAAAAAAAATGCAGACACCACATCTAAAAACTGGTAAGTTGCAATATATAAAATGTTTGTTCTTGGGTTCAGATACTCTTAAACTGAGCCATGGACAGTTGCCCCTAATGGCTAATCTATACATCTCTATATGTAATATTGTAACAAACATATAAAAGAGCAAATATGTAAAACTAATAACAAAAACAAAATAATTAAAGATTATTTTCAAGAAACCATGCAATACAGTATAATACAATACCAGTATCTGCATCGATGGAAAATGCTGGACTGGCTCCCTCTCTGTTCATTATTCCATACTTCACTTCCCCATTCACACCAGTGTCTGCATCATAAGCTTCTGCTTGCAGGACGAAGGTACCTGGAGGCTGGTTCTCTAGAACCCAAGTGTTCTCACTGTACTGAAGACACTAGGCACAGAGAAATGAGAAATGAGTGCTGGAAAGGAAGACACAATGGTGACAAACAAGAGCTGGCTGCTTAGTTTAATAACATAGTGAAATAAAACATCTCCATAAACATCATCAGTTATAGACAACGGGCATGATTTATGAAAAGACAGGAAAACGTGTGAGCCCTAGCCCATAGCAATCAGACTCCATGTTCCATGTGGAATGGGAATTCCATAGGGAATCAGGCGCATAGAGAATGGAAGCTAAAACCTAATTGGTTGCTTAAGGCAATAGCCATTTTTCATTATCAATCAGGTTTTCATATAATCAGCCCTTAAAGTGTATGTACACCGACTGGATAGACGTGAGGGGGGTCCTGGGTTTTTATTGTTGTCTTACATCTGTGAAATTCCTCCTCACATTCTGTCCCTGTAACCACCAAGGACATAAGGGGACATGACGTCAAAGTAAACACAAATAGTGATTAAAAACCTTACAGGGTTTCTAACTCCTCCTGACTACTTAAAGCGGAACTACACCCACCTACCCCTTACAGCCAAGGAAGGTGCCATCTTAGCCTTTAGCCATCTTAGCCATGGTGCTGTACATGTGATCAGCTATGACACCAGCTAATTGAGGGCTTGAAAGTTTGGTTGAGAGCTTAAAAAAGCACGCTGGCAACCTTGACAGCTGGCATGCCTTAAAGGTAGCTGTTTTGGAAGACATTAAATTGGTGGGTAAAGTTCCTTTAGGGTGACGGGAGGACGCTAGTTTGTGTCCTCCCGTTACCCTAAGGAGAACTAAGGGGAAAAGACTTAACCCCATAGTTCTCCTTTAAGGGCTTGTATAAGCCACAAAAGGTACAGGGCTGATAGGTGCTCACGCCAGAAGGAAGCCATTCTGCATCCCAGAGCAGTCCACAATCCAAGAAAAAAAAAAAACTGGCAGCACACCAGCGTTTCCACATAAGTAGAAAGTGACAAAAAGACAACATGGAACCTTCTCTGGAAACGCCTCCAGTAATGCATTTCACCCACTGCTGGGATTAATAGTAAAGATCCTGTGATTACGGCTATCTGTGGTTGAAATGTATAAGAGAAGGAGGTCCCAGGTGGGGCTTCAGGCTATA